GTAGGCACAAGCTTAAGTCCTTTTTTCAATACTTTTAATTGTTGTTCAGAGAAAGTTTTGTTCGAATTATTCACAACGTAAGAATTTTTCTTATTTCTTATATTATCCAAAGTGTTGCCGTTATTTAAAGATTTAGCACAACTTGAACGACGTGTCGGTTGATTAAGTAAGTAGGCAAGTTTCTTATCGTGTTTTGATTTTGAAATTTCTCTAATCGTATCCACACTCTTCTTCATCCATAATAAATCTGAGCTATGATCACGTTGCGGTTGTTCCGATTGCATATACGATTGTAAAACAGAGATTTGAGTTTTGACATTAATTTGACTGAATCTTAGTTGTTTGAGACGCGACTGAAGTGTGTTATTCCTAATTCTATTCATTGTTTCATTGAGTAATTGTTTATTTTTGTAGATTCTCATGCCTGATTTTAGTCTCATTCCCTTTGATATTATTTTATTCTTCGTACAGTCTTGTAGAAAGTGTATGCGTTCTTCGTTGATGACTATTCTTTTACGTAATTTTTCTAGATTACGTGCGATGATAACAGTACGCTCACCGTAGTGGTTTTTCGAGCTAAGTTCGAGCTATATTGTGGCGGCCATCTTATTAGGTGGGTTAAGTCCTTTAAGTATTTGGGCTATTGGATATCGCAAAAGTTGGGGTGGGGATCCATGCTTTTTGAAACGATGACTAAGATACGGATGTGAATCTCTATGGTACAAACTTGTCGGCTACGAATAAAGAGGTGAAACGTGCTTTGTTTTCCACATTTGTTCTGCCTTTTGTTTTCATGGCAGTATGCTATATTCTCTTTACTGACGAGTAAACAACAGGCGGATCTAAGTCATTTTTATTTTATATGTCTTAAAAGGATTTGTTGTGTGTTTAAGTGGAATGATTTATTATTCTCTTTTTTGCACAATGAAATGTTTTTGGAAGAAAAATGTAAAAACTATTGGTGTAAATATTTCAAGGCGTTATTTAAGTCAACTGACGGGAGTATTCTGTTAGAGCCGACGTGTACGAATGTTCTTCGAAATGACTGGCTGCTGAGGAATAAATCGATCATGGGATTACGCCGCTCTAAGCGTTTCCATAATCATACTTCTGTTTTTGAGAAATGTTCAATATGGTATAACGCTAATTGTTGTATTTCTGTTCCCCACTATTCTGATTGTGATACTAATTTACTGCAATGTTTTCCTGAATCCTTTTTGTAATATTCTTCTCTACATTTCGGGGAGTTATTGTTGTTTGCCTCTTAAATGTATATGTATGGTATATATATATATTTTTTTTTTCGTCAGACAAACACAAAAGATAATTTTTTCTATAAAGTCTTTAAGGTATACGTCCTGATATTGAGATACTTGTGTCTATTCTCTTTCTATTAAAGTTTTATTCCTATTTTGCAATGTACGTCAGTTTTTTTTTATTTGTACTGATAGGCCCATTGGGCCCATTGGGCACCAGTTAATCGCAAATAAATAAATAAAGAAAGAAAGAAAGAAAGGGAAAGAGACTACAGAACACACAGAAAACCCTAGCATATAACTGAGAGTAAAAGAGAAAAAGAATCCAAAGTAGTTTTTCTGTGACTACAATAATCACATTTATTCATTTTGCCAGGCCAAAAATTCGTTCGAAAGTATAATAATAGAAAAATTTCAAGTATTCGAAAATACTCGAATACATTTTTAACACACATTTTACACTTTACATTTTTAAACACGTTCCGAGCACGCGTAATGAAAATTTTGTACGCGATTATACTCGTACTCATCCATATCTGTAGAAAACCAAAAAATATCTAAGAATATAGCAGAAATATCTTAGAATACTATAATGGAATATTTTCCGCTTGTATTCTTGACAGAATAAAGCTTATATCAAAACAGAACACAAAAAACATACCAAAAAAATTACTACTGCTAACATCGAGTCGATTGTACAACTTCAATCGTTGTACAGAATATAGATACACAACGGTAAATTTAGTTTTATAGTAGTTTACCACAAAGCTAAGTTCACATGTTCGAATCTCTATTCGTACAAAATTGATTGATTTTGTGTTTTTCAATAGTTTTAGTTTAGAATACTATAATGGAATATTTTCCGCTTGTATTCTGACAGAATAAAGCTTATATCAAGAATATAGCAACAAAAAAAAAGATTACAGACACGGCAACAAACATTCTCTTCGTTATCTTATTTAAGCATCATTTTTTTCCTTTAACATTTTTTGCAACTAAAACGATAAAACTTTAATAATTCTGCTAAATTTATATCACCATTTTCATAGCGTTCATTTAATGTATCAATTCGACGTTGTACAGCTGTTGTTTTTTGGTTTTTCGTCGACCGCTTGCACTACGTCTCATGTGTGATATTTGATGACGATAATAGACTTCTTGTTGTAAACATTTTCAGTTTTCGACATTTTCACTTCCGAGGAAGCTCAAACATACCTAAATACTCTAACCTTGACAATGAGTTTCTAATGAACAGACGTCGGAAAATATTATCTAATGAATAAATCAGCTGCTGTTGTATTGTTATTTTTAATTAAAATTTTATCCTTGAAAAAGGAGAAACAAGTTAGCGAAGGGTGTTGCAAAATAATATATTTTTAGTGCAGCGTAAGACATTGTAAACTTTATCTCGCCACAACACAATTTTTTCTGAAGGTCACGACAACGCGATACACTGTTTGATCCGTTAAATCGCCTTAAATTTTTTGTAACAAGAAAAGTAAGCTTGTAACGCACTTTATCGTTCACTAAGAAACGGACTTTAACGCGTTATTAGCGAAAAAAGGCTTTGAGTGTTTGCTATACACAAAAGACTATAAGTACTAACTACATTTTATTTTAATGTAGTCAACGTCACGCAACTTTTAATTTCCTCGAAGTTCATTAAACTAGAGAAATTCCGAAAAAATGTCAAAAATCATTCCGCTTGACAAAATAGTAACAGAATCGGCTTTTAGATATTTAATTACTCAAAATACAAAATTAAATTTTATTTATTTTTTTTTATAAAAATAAACTCGACGTTTCGAAAATTGTAATTATTCGAAAATATAAATTAAATGGAAAATTACAATTTTCGAAACGTCGAATTTATTCTTATAAAAAAAGTAAATAAAATTTAATTTTACATTTTTATTAAATAAATATAAATCTAAAAGCGCCTGCTGTTACTATTTTATGAATTCTAAAATTTCTATCCCTGAACAGGTGTAATGTATCATTTGACTTTGTTTGTGATTTCCGGATATGATATTTAGTTACCTATATGATTAACAATGATGATGTAAAAGTCAACACATGTAACATCTAACTCGAAAAACAACAGATAAGAATCAGATTTTTTCGTTAACTATATCTCACTTTTAGATGCTTCGATTGATTCTTTTTTCGTTCCTCTGTTCTGCACATTGTGGCTAAAACAGACTTTTTCTGGTACATTCTGAGTGACACTAATCTCTTCCAAATTAATCGTCTCCCTATCTTTCCAGTATTAGAAGTTTCCATCATAACGAGAAAGAATTGCGATAAAGCGCTGCAATACGAGAACGTTCATTCCTTCGAAAGCATTGAATCCAAGGGAGAAAAGGCGGTTCAGAGAGCTTTCCTGAGCCATTGAAATGCTTTACAAAGGTTGAGATGCTGAGTGATGCTCTCCGATGCTAAGAAAGAAAAAGTCGCCTTTTCCCACTTGATAGAAGCTGTTGAAATACTCAAAAATAAACTTTTTCTAATGGTTTTCGCTCTTGATGAAACACACACAAGTACTCAAAGCAAACTAAAATTTATGTTCAAATCTGGTGAAACACACGGTGTTTGGCGAGGATAACAATTTGAAAAAGTAAACGAATAGGTTAAGAGCGTGATGTTTATATACCGGTGTCTGATTTTGTTCTTGAAAAGTTCGAAATATTATTCGCATAATGTCTATGGAGAACGTTTAATAATATGTATTATAAATTGAGGCGCCGACAGCTAATTTTGTTGCTCGTTGACATAAGTCGATTGTCATTGCTCCAAGTATTCCAGCTGATAGTAAAAAGCCAATGGTTCGAGCAATGCCATTCTTGAGAGGAAGATAAGCCAATGTGTGTAAAATTCTTCCAAAGCCGAAGATGGTACCATAGATGACAAGACGTGCTGTTGATTCGCCGGCCATGATAACACAAAATGCTAATGCCAATACGAGGAAATATGGTGTATATTCTGCTTCGTTGGCTAATATACGTTGGCAACGATCAGCATTTGTTAGTGTAAATACATCGGTGCCGGCTGATGTTGTTATCACTGCAGATGGTCCTCCCGATACATGTGCTGTGCCATCTTTCATCATCTTTACGTCTTCTGGTGCTCGAATTCGTTTTTCTCTGAAGCGAAAAATCGTTAATAACAACATCACCAGCAGATTTTTCCATATTAAACATAATGCTATCCATGTCCATGCACACCAGGTTCCTTGTGTGACATCAATTACTGAAAGAGCTGCGTAGTTGTTTGCCATATTGTTCACTTTCTTCTAATATAAGTTGTTGGACGAGAAAAACGTTCACGATCGAAGAATAGTGATTGAGTTGAATGAATGAGTTTGCGTGTACTACCAGTTAATTTATTCTAGATTCTTTTTCGTTCTCTTGTTATGTTGTGACAACAGATTAAAAAAAAGTTCTCTCGCTCTTTCTCTATCTCTCTCTTTCTCTCTCTCTCTCTCTCTCTCTCTCTCTCTCTCTCTCTCTCTCTCTCTTCCCCTCTCTCGCTCTCTCGCTTTTTTATTCTTAGAACTTTTTAGAATATTGAATTGAATGAATAAATGAAAATGATATATATTTGTGTAGAAAATGAATCGAACTAAAAATTCTCGTTTCTTCTCGATGGACAATTTTTAACTTTTGTTTTAGAGAAAGTTTGAACTTAATAATAGCAATAAGGAATGAAACGTATCGTTGGAAACTCTATGATGTTGTCAATGACATCGATTGATGAGAATAATAGAGAGTTGTTGATGAATATATGTTGTATAGTTTTGTTTTATTTACTTTTTAATTATATTTGCATCGATAAAAGTGCTGCAAGAAATGTTCGATAAGAGATACAGGGTGCTGTAGCTTTGATGGAATATATCAAATAGGGAATTGTTATATTGTTGCAAAGCATAATTATTACCTGGGTATCTGATACGGCACCTAGCACTACTAAAAAAATTTCTCGTTCATTCGAATATTATTGAAAACACGATATCGAACTCGTATTAGCATTGATACCAAAGCACGCTAACAAAAAACTGCGTTGAAATGAAAGTTTTCTTGAATGGATACGTAGTCTTTCAAACACTCGTCGAGTATACACCTTTCCATTCTATTTTGTACAATGTTTTGGCACTAGGTAGATGCGATCTGGTCTTGGCTACACACCGACGAAAAAGTTTTTCATTCTTATGGGTAGATTCTACACCTTTGATCACAGCACACATTCAGTAGTGCTTCTGCAGAGCTTCTACAACTTGTCTTCGCTGGCATATGTCCTGTTATGTCACGTTTTTCAACAAATGCGTCTTATTTTCTTTCCATTCACACATTTGTTTTGCGAGATCACGTGTACGTCTATATAGCGAATTTATAATTGTACCTGTACACTCGAAAATTTATTTAATATCCGTCGAACCCGAAAATTTATTTATATTAAATAAATTTTCGAGTGTACAGGTACAATTATAAATTCGCTATATAGACGTACACGTGATCTCGCAAAACAAATGTGTGAATGGAA